TCTCAGATTCTTCCCTGATATTAATTGTTCTCAAAGCCCTAAATGAAAAAGTAAAGCAATGAGTTCCTAGAAATATACAGGCAAAGCAAAGCGATAATGTACATGTACCAAGCTAATATATATATTTTGTTAGTACCTTCCACAATAACAATAAACGAAACAAAGGCTCAAATACAGGACAGAACAGAAAGAAAACTACTTGCATGGTGTACCTTTCGGCAATCGATCGTGCCTTCTCAATATCGGCTAATGAGAGCATAAATGCCATGTATTTTATCCATATAAAACTGCTGTTTGGGGAACTCCTAATAAGTTTCTCAAATTCATCTGCACTCCTTGGGATGTCCTTTTCGAGCAGTCTCTCCTCAGCGGCTCTTATTTCTCTTTCCCTTTAAACAAGCAATAATAAGTTAAAGCCCAAGGCATTAATTAACTAACACAAAAGTAAAGCGTACAGCTAACTCATTTCCTCACATAGTAATATCAAAGCTATAACTGATTCTCAAACATACCTTTCTTCCCTAGCCTTCTTTTTTGCTTTCTTTTTGCTTTTCTCTTCTGTGGTATCCACATCTGTAGTAGCATTTTCCACACTTTGACCAACATTATCATAGATGTCTATTCCATCAATGTCATCAAGAGAAACGTCAAGTGGCGGCACAAAGGCCCTAGATTCGACGTCCGCTAATATAGGAAGATGGTCATATTCATTATGTGTGTTGTCAACAAAAGCAGAGTTACTCGGTGGTATCACTGATGGCTCAGAACCGTTTTGTGTTGGAGATGTCTCAAATGCTTCCTCCTGTGTGAAATATGATTTTTTCATACCAAGGGAAACTCTATTTCTCTCTTTATCCACCTGAAAGAGAAATTGAAAAACTTAAGGTAGTGAAGGCGAGAATTTTTTTATTTTATTTTTTACAATCCACGTTCTCACTCAAATGACGTGTTTAATTATCATTAATTGCACAAAGGGAGAAACACAAGGAGTGATTAAGATACAAATTAATTGTAGTGGGACCACCCAGGCAAGCTTCAACCAATGGCAGTGAAAATTGCACATTTTATCTTGCGTTGATGTTACCTCCAGACCAAACAAAATGTAACAGCAAAAGTACAGTGAAAAACAATAGCAACAAACACAAAACAATATATCCCCTTTCTCAACATTTTACCACACTGATATAAGGCAATATTGTCTTACTAAATTTGTGCTAACCTTCAAAACTTTTGCCGTCACTCTCTCCGCTGCTTTAAACTTCGTCTCTAGATCATCCACGTGGTTATCAGAAAGCTCCGAAACATGACATAACCCAACCTGGGACAAAATAAGAAGCAGATAAGACCACTTAGACAATAAGCTGTCACTAAGAAACACAACTGCTCCTACTCAAACTACGAAAAGTGACCACTGAGTATGCAAACATTCAACATTCATTCAGCCAGCTGGTTTTACGAAAGGGGGATATTAACTGGCATGAGAAAAAACCACGCAAGAGAAATAATATAAGGAAAATGCTACAAGTACATCATAAATGTACATAGAGATGTACATAACACTCACATTGAGGGGGGTCCACTTGATTTTTATTTTTAGTGGGTCCCACTTAATGTGAGTGTTATGTACACCCCTATGTACAATATTATGTACCTATAGCATTACTCATAATAAAAATGGTGCCACAATCAGCTGTATTCTATAAAAACTAAAATACATTTAGGACAAGCACAGATTACTTTTTCATTATAGCCACAAAACAACTCACAAAAAGCAACAGTTTGGTGAAACCATATATGCACACGTGATCATCTAAATCACGTACCCAATTCTAGGAACTGAAACCAAGAAACGAACAGCAATTCACATACCACATTCGTCTGATCAATGGATATAAACAATCCATAAGACTCCACGCGCTTGATTCTTCCATGAATCACATCTCCAATATTAATATGGCTGAAGGAATTAGTACTCGACTTTGATGCACCTATCGCATTTGAAGTCTGCAGGGTAACTTCTATCCGCTTAGACAATGGCTCCACCAAAAGCACCCTGCATTTGGTACGTTAGTACTACATACTCCAATAAAATTGAAAAGCGCTTTCAAATGCCTTACCTGCCAGACACAAGCTTTCCAATAGGAAATTCCTTCTCTGGATTCTCAACAAATGTGTCCGACAAATTTGAAAGAAGAATTTTCGCATCAATCTTTCTTGAAAGCATAATAAAACATCCCTTTGGGGAGATGTTTTTAATATAGCCCTGCGGCAGAAAATACAGGGAAAACATAACATAATATAATTCTTTAGTGAGCAAACAATAAAACAAAATAAAGATTGAAATATAATTCACAGAATTCATTCCTGTACTATTAATGCAGTAACTAGTATATTTATATTGCAACCATACCATCAATTACAACACTACCTGAACAGCCATATTTGGGTGAAGATCGGTTATCTTGTCCACAAGCTGTGTGGAAGTGTGTCTGCACATGATAACTTGTAATGTGACACCAGAAAACGAGAATTATAGATCCATACAGTCATTGAGAATACTCAGATTCTGATTTAATGAACATTTCTCAATATGTGGTATAAGTTTCTAAAAGAGAACCCAACTGAAAGAAGTATTTTATGAACATAAACGAAAACTACATAAAATGCGACCACATAATTTCCTTGATCCCCTTCTCCAAAGTAAAAGAAACATAAATTGGAACAGGATCAAACACTAATGTAAGCAAGGATCATAGGAAAATAAAGGCAGCCCCAGAACCGAAAGCTAATATATAGATTGTAAAAGATCTAAACTTACATGGTAGATCCTTGGCCGGTTGATCGTAGTGATAAGTCAACATGGACTATGCCCTTAATAGCTCGATTAATTTCCAGAACTTTACATTTGACAAACTGTCCAAGGCGGTATCCCGCAAGAGGCTCGGGGAGCCAGTTTGTCAATTCAGTAAAATGAACCTTACCAAAATGGTGATGATCAATTTGGACTAGCAACCCCCCAACACCGGGAAGAATCTTAGAAATCCTACCACCCACGATACTACCTTCTGCTATATGGCACAGTAACTGCTGATCAGAATCAATATCTTTGATTTCCCCTGAACTATCAAATGGCTTATACAAAGCTATGCGCAGCAACTTCTTCTCATTATTCACACTGATTACGTAACCTGAAAGAGCCTTTCCCACATGGAACCGAGTCTGAAACTCCGCCAGTTCAGAAGGCTCACATGAAGAATCAAGAATATACAACTGCGCCCTTACATCGCGAGATAGAGTCAGCCAAGCCCAGTCACAGTCCGTCTTATATACGTAACCGGACACATGTTGACCATAGGAATAGTTGAACTCTTCGGAATTCTGTTCATCTATGTCCCTCAATCCTAAATATTCAATGCATATTGAAAATATTAGACAAAGAAATACTTGGGGGTCATAAACATAAAGAATTGGGCAAAGGTTACAGACAGAAATGTGTACCACTAAGCAAGGACGGTTTGATAGATAATTCATATCCATAAGCTTTTTTAAAGTTTTCTGTCTTGCTGCCCATAGACACAATCCTGGCTGACAGTGTTTGCCCAATTCTGTATTCACTAAATGGATTTCCAGTAGAACTATCATCAGTTACCTGCCAACAAAAAGCTAAATCATAAAAACAAGCCTTTCAAGTATAGAAGATGATACACAAAGTGAATTATACATATATATATCCAATTGTGACAATCTACATTGTAAAATTCTGCACCTCAGTTATATGTATCCTCCCAAGAAATCCAGATCCAAATTTCACTCTGAGTTCAAGAGGCTTTATTTCAGTAATCTAAAATCAACCACAAAAACAAAAGATCATCAAGTCTAGTTATAATGTTATAGAAATAGAAGAGTTCAAATCAGTGAAAATTCAATGGTGGATCAGTAGTCTGGATATATGGGTCTGAACTCAGGATAATGTAACAAGTCTCACCTCAGCCTGAACTAGAGATCCGGCATCATAGCCGGACCTCTTTTTCGCCCTCTTGTAACTAGATGTGTCGACACCATCACTCAAAGATTTGAGAAGCAGAAGCAATCTTCCACCTGTTGCAGTAGCTGGTAGAGCCATTACCAAGGCAGAGACACTGCACAGAGAAATACAATTACAGTGGCGATGAAATGAAAAACCCAGGCAAGACCAGATTTAAAGAAGCAAATAGCAGGTAAAAGATATAGTTGCAAGGATTTTACATCATTAGGAACAGTCATCAGTCAATAACTAGCACCCAAAAGAATGCCACATTTAGGAGTGGGAAAGACAGCCAGTAAGGTAAGGCAACAGCAAATGGAAAAGAGATGAAATACAGTTTTTCTAAACAAGAATATTGTTCAAGAGTCCCACTAAGACAGGCATCCAAGCTATTAGGATTTTGAAAATATTAATATGAAAACTGTACCTTCAAGACAAAATTACACAGGTACACACTTAGTAACCTAAGAAATCTAACAATGGTCAGACAGACACTTCTTATTAAATACCAAAGTCGGGCTGCCTAAGTTGCTTTTAGATCAGCAACCAATCATGGTGGTGACCTGGATGCTTGAATAAGAAGCTAGACGCAACGCCAGAAGACAGGTACATGACGAGAAACCAGAATTACCTCTGTCCATGGATAAACTGTTTAGAAAGTAATTTCTGAGTGTTGTAATCACTAAGTGATGCGTAGCCAATGGAATGACCATAAGATGGAAGCGAAAGAACCTGTTAAAAAGAACAGTAACAACAAAATATGAAAGTTTTAGCATTCAAGTAAACGAAGTAATAAGCAAAATTAACATAAAAAATAGAAGGGGAAATATTACCAAATAACTTTCTTTCACAATCTCAACAGTTGCATTTACTGTTTGATTTACTTCCAACTCTTTATCGGTTTCTCTTTTGCGCTTCTGCAAACAAGATATTATTCAAAAGGTGGAAAGGGGAGGAATACAAAATGCAAATGTACTGGCGAAGATGAATCAGAAACATTTTAAGAATACCTAGGACACCTTGCAAACACAACAGAAGGTAAAACATATATAAAAAGTCAGCATAATTATCTATGGAAATCATCACTATGACCACTTGCCAAGAAGGCAAGAACACAAGGTAACCATTAAGATATGATACTTGTTAGAAAATAAAGGCAAACCTTCTTAAGTGTTTCAGAATTAGAGTTCTCTTCTTTTGCTCTACTTATGAATTCTGGCTTCAGAGATAGATCCACGAGGCGCTCTATTTTTGAAACGTCAAGGACTGCAGCTTTGACAACAGAATTTCTCTCCATCGTGGTCCCCGCCACTGAAAAGAATGCCCTTAGTTTCATTTTGAACTAGCAATTAACATATAGGATTCAAGCAAAATGACCTACGCTGATGATGTGAGATAAAGCCATATACATCCTTGTGTTCCTTAAAACTTATAACAACACCATAATCCTCAATTCGATGTATTTTCCCTTCAATGATACTACCTACACCAAATTCATTCATCCATCTCAATCCAGGGTCTTCTGACTCCAACGCTTGCTGCTTTGCAATCTGGTAAAGCAGTAAAAGGAGTGCCCAATATTAGCATAAAACAACAGCTGCAAGTTTCTGCAAGATGACGTAGTAAGCTAATATAATAAAATCATTAAAAAAAACATGTACATACAACATATGCATAACCTAGAATAAATTCAAACTCTCATATGAATACACCACAACCCAAGAGCAAATAGAAATTAATAAATTTGCTTCCCTATCTAGAAATAAGTTACAGCACAGTCACATGCTTCCACAAAACAACCAACTGCAAGCATAGCTCAACATCATTGCCCTTTCAGAAGGGTATTCACAAGGGCCCAAACCCTGTACCTTGCAGTTAGGGATGGCAATGGACCAGGTCGGGCCGGGTACCTACAGACCCAGACCTGGCCCGCGTTTCTGCCTTGTGGACCCAACCTGCCCCGCGACCAGCGATGGGTCCAACAGGTCGGGCCCGTGCCCTGACCCCATTTGGGGCGAATCGGCCCGCCCCGACCTGTGCCCCATGTCTGACCCGATTCAAGGCGGGTATGCACTTAACCACAAAAAAGAAACCAGCAAAAAAAAAAAAAAAAAAACTCCAACACCCATCTGCTCCACAAACCTTCCAAAGGCAAAAACCAAACTACCACCAAAAGAAATATGTGTAACTAAAAGCAGAGAGAAAACCATCATTTTTTAAGCAAACAAAAGCAGACCTCAACAAATTTCAGAAAACTCGATCCATTCTTCCTGGAACAATTTGTAAACATGAAACAATACAATGACAAATCAATTATCCCATTCATGATACAAAATATAATAAAGGCGAAAGAACCATTATAATTTTTTTACTTAAAAATATTTACTAATGACCATTGGAATATGAAATTGGAATCTGAGTGGACAGGGCGTCAGGCGGAGGCGTGGCGCCGAGCCTTTGTGTCGAAGCCTCGGAGGTGAGGCGAGGAGCAGCCGGAGCTTTTGTTTTGGATTTCAGAGGTGCGATGTCGAGGCGCGAAGAAGAGATACGCCGGAGACAACTCAGTGAAAAGAGAGACAACGGGCAGATGTGAGAAGAGAGGCAACGGCTTAGGAGTGAGTGAGAGGAGCAATATAGAATTCTAAAAACCTAATCCCAATACCCTAATTTACATATATTATATATTATAATTATATAATATATAATTTATATAATTATAATTTTTATTATATAATTTTTATATATATACAAGGGCATGGCGGGGCGGGGCGGGGTGGGATACAGGACCCGGACGTGGCCCGATTAGCTTACGGGGCGGACCCGGTAGAGAAACGGGGCAAATTCAACCTGCCCCAAATGCTGCGGGTCAGGCCGGGTCCAGGTCGTTTTGCCATCCCTACTTGCAGTTAATTGGTCCTTAACTCTACAAAACGTACCCTGTTACCCACACATCCAGCCAAGACAGAACCAACATTGCCAGAGCAAGATCGATGTAAAGAAAATGTAGGTCCACATTCATGAGAATGTCGATGTTCACAAGAGTTTGAACAAAAAAAGAAAAATATCAGATAATATCCAAGCAAAGCATATACTACTAGTCTATTTCTTGTTTCTTCATCCCGGCGAAAGGATAAACCCTAAACTATCTCTTTCTACAGCTCACTTCAGATGAGATTGTCAAAGTTTGACCAAAAAATCATGTTTACCTTTTCTTCCACAAGAAAATATTCTTGAATAAAAGATGCATCAGTGGAGCAGCACAATGATTGCTTCAACGATAGTGTTATTCTACCTGTTTCTGTATTAACCTAGAAAGAGATAAAAAAAAAAAAGAATCAAATTAGAATATCAAGATATTCTAGGATTTATACAGTAATTTCTAAGGTGGTCGTACATCAATGACATTGCTGCGAACAGACTGTCCAACATAGAAGATCTCAGAGAGTTCCAATCTTTTTCCATCAGTAGCCTACAAGACAGCATCCCAGAATGCAAGTAATCCAGTTTTAACTAATTAGCCAGTTGCTCAGTATACACAGATTTGGAAAAAATTTTAGACCTATACCTTGCTTTTGGGAGCAAATCCAGTTAAACGTCCAATATAACGAACAAAGCAGCCATTTTCAATTATATTGCATATGTAACCCTGGTACATAAATGAATGTGAGCAAAGGAGGACAGGAAATATTATAAATTCATTCTTCCAACAGACAGAATACCATGATCGTGATGCAAAATAGAGGTACATTTGTCTAATAGGCATTAGGTTAAACTGTGAAAGCATTACAAGACAAGAGATTCAATATTTCAAGGATTTTCTAAGGTAATACCACACATTAAAGCGATAAGAATTCTTACATGCATCACGGAGTGGGTAGTAACTTGGCTAATATCAACAGGGAGCTCCTTGGCTGAATGAATTAGTGAATACTTGGCAGTAAGTATGACATTGTTTCCTTCAATATCTGCATGATCAGAATATCAAATAGATAAAAATAATCAATTGTTAGAAAGTTAAAATAGATCTGTACTTGTTTTCTTATTTAATACATGAGAATTCAGGCATGGGATCTCTTGCAAATACTGTATAGTTCACTACTCCTGAGGACAATTTAGCTTAATGCAGAAGAGCACCATCCCTAAATATTTTTCGCTTACTTATCTTTACGTAGAACATGAGCTTTCAAAATATTTTTCCTTCATTAAGTCTATGAGAGAAAGTATGCAGGGACAAACAGAATAAGAAAAATGGCTTAACTAGATGAATCAGATAAAAATAGTGAGGAAAGATATTGAGATTTTACCAAGTACCAACAATTCATCAAAATGATATCCTGGCTTTATGGCGGACATCAATCGAGAAGCAAGGCCTGTTGCATTAAAAACCAAAACCAAATTCGAATACGTACATAGACAGGGATATCAGGCACCCATTTAACGAGCAATTTCATCAGTTAACTAAAGGAGAACACGTCATATAGAAATTACAAAGAAAACAAGCAACTCTATACTAAGAGGCTGTCTACATACCATGGTGGTCAGTCAAATGTTCACGTGAGATGGTGCCTTTAATGTGACTTGATCCATCAATATCCAATATCACTTCTTGAGGCGTTATATGTTCAACAACGCCAGAGACCAGGCTGCCTGGTTTCACATTCTCATCCTTTGAAGCCCTATAAATTAATTAAGAACAGAAATGGAAGCAATAACAATGATAATAATCCACTCGAGAAATTGTTCATCATGTAAATGCAAGAGAGAAATAATTTATTGAACAGCAGTTGTGAAAATATGTTAAGTGACATCTACATTTTGAGTTTCTAATCTGATCAAGGAATCTTAGGAGCATTCAGATAGTAGGGGAGGATCAAGAAGTGGAAATTACAAATTACAACAAAAAGAATTTGTAGAATAACAATGTATAATTTGAACAGAAGAGAACAGAACATTATGACATTTTCCCTTCATTAATGCTGGAGATACACTGGATTTCTTTATTTCATGAAAAGAATATCATTCAATAAAAAAGAGACGAACCTTGTAGGCGTTATGATGAAACTGAGGTTTATTCTACGCGACGCAGGAATACATTTCACAATTCTACACTTGACAACTTGTTCAACATGATATGAGGAACTTATGTCCCCTCCAGGTTCCAAACGAAGTTCAGATCTGCAATGAGTGACATACTTTTAGTGTAACATGAATTATCACTTTTAATATGTAGGTATTACTATGTGTTTCCGCAATTGGTAAACAGCACACAAGCATTTTACTCATCTTGAACGGGATTCAAGAGATACTGATGAGATGAAACATAGTTCTGGAACATGATCCAATAGGCCACAATATACCACTTCTTTGGTATAGAAATCTTAAAGCGAGTGCCACAAAGTAAAGTTGGGCAGGAGCCATGGATAAATTTCCAGTGCATTTGTTATTAGTATCCAATTTAAATTTGATGAGATATAAGATGGAATGGGTGTTGAAACAGGTTCAAAATTACTATCTGCCAATTCAAATTAGAAATTATATGATATATTGAAATCTAAATTGAAGTGCCCGCAGAAGACATAACAGAACAGAGTAGGAATCATGAGTACATCTTCCAGTACCCAGAAAATTAAAATTTGATTCCGGAGGTTATTCAGATTGCAAATGCCTGTTGGAAATGCTATTCTTTCATCAAAGCTTGCAGAGTTCTTTCATTGTAAATCTTCAAGTTGTAGGCCATTTTCAATATTCAACCTTATATCTTTGGAGAACGTAACATTAAGTAATCAGACATCTTACCTATTTGATAATCTGATAAACTGTAAATATGATTATTGACAGAATATCACATATCATTCATGAGGGATTCATTCTCAAGTGCTCTCTACATACCTGGGGGCAAATCCTTGAACCCCATTGTAGAACCGGACAAAGCAACCATGCTTTTCAATCTTTGTTATCCACCCATGAGTGACTAGCCCATCAACTGCATCAGCATAGGAACTAACAATTGGTAGCTTCGACTTAACCTGGGAAAAACCCATAAAGCATGTGCAGATCATGAGAAAATATACTAGTGACTGAACTCCACTTTTCCGAGAACAAACTATTGTTCAATCTTAGGCTAGAAACAGAACAGCTTCTACTGCAAGATTATAATATAGATACGCAAAGGTTATCGCAGCAGCACTTCTCATTCAAAACTTAATTCAAATAGACTGACAAAACATAGACTAGGACATATCTACAACATATAGAATAATGAGAAATTGATAACTCTAGTAATAATCCAGGAGATGGCATACAAGCGTTTTCTTGTGTGTAACAGTGATTCTCTTGGATTTGCAACCAAGAACTCGAAAATTCAACTCAGCTCCAACCTGCAAAAGGTCAATGCATGAATGACCAATTAGAATCACCAAAGCAACAAAACTAAAGAGTATGCAAATAACATATTCAACAACCTGAAATTTTTTCCTAGGCTTTGCAATATCAAGCTCTGACATGTGTCGGAGAGGACACAGGGCTTTCACTCCAGCAAATTGTACAATAGCACCGAAACTGTCCACTGCAATGACTTTAGCTTTTACCTCCATTCCCGGCTTCACATCAGCATGAGTGAAAACCAAGCCTTCCACGGCACTAGTCTGTTTAAGTTGAAGAATAATGAATTAGACATAACCTACCTTTGCAGCAATTTGCTTTAAATATAAAAAATGAGACACTGCTATAGCCCTTTCATGTCACTTTTCTCTATTTATTATAAGGATAACAAGATTTTGATGCTGCTCACTCCTTCGGAGTAATTTACAATGAATAATTGTCCATGTAAGCACATACTTGAACTGTAAAAGACAGTAATTATTAGTCAAAAGAGATCAAACAACCTTCAAGGTACCAGTAGCAAGCCCTTCCAAGTGCTTGTATCCCAGTACCCTAACACGAACAAGACTCCCTTCCTTGAAATTCTTTTCCAATTTTCCGACTTCTTTGTCAGCAACATCAGCTACCTGAAATATTTATGATAATATTACCACAACCAGATCAGGCAAATCCAAAACGTAAAGGGGTAAAATTAATGAAACTTACATTGACATAGGCTGGGGTTGGAGTTGGCAGAGTAGGAATTTCCAAAAGAAGGCCTGAACCCTTATCAACCCTGACTATTTTAGATTGACTAGAGATATAGCCAATTTTGACAAGCTGCTCAACGACGAAATCCATATCAGGAAGGAGATCACTTACATTTTGTTCAAATTTTCTATTCTTTAGATAATATCAAAAGGGAACATCAGAAATATTGTACATGAAATGTGTGCTAGTCGTTGACAATGTAAGACAAACTTACAGGTGATGGAGCCTTATTACTGACTAGGTGAGGGTTTAACGTTAACCCAACAGCCCTCGTAGAAGGATCAATGAACAAGATTCGAGCATTGAACTGTACAAAAACAGAAATAATGAATCCCCAGTACAAACTCAAAGCATAATAGAAAGTTCAACTCAGAACATAGAACTATATAGTTAATGTCATGTCATTTTACAAATAAACTAAAAAACCACAGGAAAGAAACAATATTTCTTTATCCAATAATGCTCTAGGCCTGCTGAAATTATGTTCACGATGAATGCTAAAGGTGTTATAGTAAACTTCAATTGATAGAAAATAATCTACCATAAAATCCAAACAGGATATAAACCATCCTTACCTTCATATTTTTGGTATAATCATTCCTCCAGTTTGAAGAGGGAAAGGTTTTATCCAAATTAAATACATCGACCTGTTATTTGAAGAGAGAAAAATAAAGACAAAAATAGAGCAAGCTGCCAGGTTTTTTATATAAAAAAAAAAAAAAAATGGTGAGGACATACAGTTCCAGTAAAGTAAGTAAGGAAGGAAAAAAGGATGCCATTCTCAAGGGTTGACTGCACTCGAGCATTAACCAGCATTCCAGGAACGAGATTATCAATTGAAATACCCTTAAGCTCTTTGGTCTGCATGGAACCAAGTGGATTAGTGAACAGATAACTCTCTAGTTCTACAGCAACCAACTAGATATTTAGTATGGCAATATAGCAGGAACATACCACAGATTTTGACAACGTGTCAGAATCAGAACTCAAATGAACAACCTTCCGAGCCCTGTCGACTCTTTTAACAAACCCTTGTAAAATCTGATTAATGCTCACTTTACTGTTTCCACCCTCTACAAAATACAAGAAGATAATCTATCAAGGCTCGAACATACAAAAAAATCAGTGATTACTCCCAAAATTTCTGATGTTGATCTGAAAAACTTGGTTGATTAGTATGATAAAACACAATCATAAGATTTTATTTCATAGGATATAATATTCTTCCAAGGGATCTAATTGTCCCTTAGGTTGCGCAACTCAAACTACAATCCGAGATAACAAGAAGTTGAAGTACCTGCAATGTGGTCCTGCTCACAATGTTCCTCTAAATTACTCTAATCAAGACAAATGTTAAACATTCTGAAGAATCAAGATGAGCTATCCATTACCAGATTGGGTGTCTTTCGGCATAAATCCCGCAAAAGAGAGCAATCCAAAATGAAGCATGAAACCGTGATCCTCAATGCTTTTCACGTATGCGCTAAGAACCTGTGGATCGGGAAAAAATTGAACACGTTATACATATTTAACAAAATAGACTTCCTAGACGCAAAGAATTAATCCATGAAGTTACAGCCAGCCAGCTAAAAAACAAACTTCTTTAGACCGAGGTAATGGTTTCACATTGTTCATACCATTCCCTCTTGAATTGTATCCAAAGATAAATTTTTGTGTAGGATAGATAGACGCAAAGAAAGCCAAATCTTCCGTTTTGTTATTTCTTTCTTATCGTCATCTACTTGCAGTACGGTGCAAGACACAAGCTGCCCTTCGTGATAGATTCTAGACAGGAATCCATTCTCCACATCCTGCATTCAAAGAAATCTTGTTAAAAGCTTTTCACTCTTAGTCATTTCATAAGCTGATCCCTCTTCAATGAAAAGAGATTAAAGGGAAAAACCTGTGAGTCAAATTAGTCAGGGATATTTAAAAGGCATGACTGAGTTATCCCATGGTAAATAAAAGAAAAGGACAAAACAAATCACCACTTTCACGTCATCATCCAGAATGGGATCAAAAGCATCAGATGCACGAACTAATCCCCTCAATCCCCCAGGAAGACTAACAGCAATGTCTTTTTCGTTTACTTCAGCAATCACACCCCATAGCTTCATGCCCGAAGAAACATTCTGAAATAGATGAAGGAAAAAACTAAATTGCATATTATACTAATGAAATAGAATAAAAAACGTTAAAAACAAAATGTAAGTTCTGATTAAAGTTGAGCCGAAGAAATGAAAACCCATACAAAATCTCATGTCCCTGGTCCCTATATACATTTGATGAAATGGGATTCATAGCCAAATTCTAAATTTTCATCATTTTAAGCTGCAGTACTTAAATAAATATCTCATAAACCAGTCAAGAGTGGCATGAAATGAATTATAACATTGCTGGTTCTCCTTACTACACAAACGTTAACCTCAATCAAGTGATCATGATTTTCAAAAGATGAAGGGTGATGGTACAACCAAGACTGTAAACATTTGAAAGCAAGGAATCTGATGGGCCAATAATTAAGTCACATATAATTCCAAATGTAAACTACATAAAACTTTTCAATCAAGTTTCTCGCTTGTACAAAAAAAAGAAAGCAATCAGCGCTTCTGACAAATAGTACACAACCAAGAAAGAATAGATGAAGCAACTGAACAGTGATGTATATGGTAAATTACAAACTTTGTAGGAGACTATGAAAGAATGAAAACAACCATGTTCTCAATAATGAAACCTAAGAATTTTTTTTTTTTTTTTCAACTCCACAATTCCAAAGCTCATGCTGATATGGCACACACATTCAGCATACTACATGGTCCACATCCAAGGGCTAGATCACCAAAATTTAGGTATCTTCTTTACAATGTGGTTCAAATCATTTCCAATAGGAATTTTCTACGAACAGATAATTACAAATGTATCAACTCTTTATGGTGGCATTGCTATTTCACTGGGGAGAGTCTACTGAACAGGGTAGAAGAGAACAAGAAACAGAAAACATAAATATATCAATAAAATGTAATACCTTCAGAGTGATCTTATTAGCAAACCTCGGAAACTTCCCAGTGATCCCATCTCCAAAGAGCGTACCTAATTCATCCTCTGTGGACAGGCTCCTATTTTGAACTCGCTTTTCCTTCTTCCTTTTCTTCAGCACTATATGGTTTGTCTCAAAGTCGTCATCCGCTAAATTCCTTGCCTCATTTCTTTCCTCTCTACTCAAAGAACTTCCCCCACCTATTACGCAGATGACCAGAAACGGAATGTTTAAAAAGTCAGATTCTTTCTTCAAGTAGCAAAAAAGAGGAAACACACCACCTTAATATATCAAGCTGATAAATGACAAATAAGCGTTTTGCTCTCCTAATCCTAACTTATTGCTAACATGGTTTGTCCCTCGCAAAACCTACAAGCTTAGGGTATTGAACTAAAATTACTGCTACCTTATAGTTCATTCAAATTTACTAACTTGCATCCATAATCATAACAAAGTGAGAGATGGGACAGAACCTCGGGGGAAGTCAGGGGCGTTGTCTTCGGCCTCAAGAGGCAACTGCACGGATGAAATTGCTCCGTCGGAGTTGCTTCCCTCAGGCTTGGGACGTTTCTTAGAAGGCCTCTGATGCTTCCTAAGGCTGGGTTTAGATTCAGATTTCTTCGACGGCGGAGCCATTTTCAACCCGCCCGCAATAATATTTTTCCGAAATTCAGAAGGTTTTCGCCTCTGGCGGCTAGTGGTCGGCTGAAAAAGAGCGGCGGAGGAGAGGTTTTAGAGGGTTTTATCATATGATAGTTTTGCAGCAGCTCAATTTGCGCAGCAAAGCTACTGAGGCTACAAGCATTTATTTTAATTTTTCATATTTATTCAGTGGACTTCTTTATCTTAGCATAAGGCCCATTATTGAAGTAGTCCCCTTTTGGTTTGGCCCACAATGTTTGTGACCTCAGGTAGATAAAAAGCCCAAATATATTAAAAAAATTGTGGGCTTGATAGAAGGTTCTCGAGAATCCGCCTGGGAACTACTATTTATCATCATCACCTTCATGAAACTTCTATTTTCGCCAGCAAACGTCTCTCTGGTGTTACATCAACGCCTTCGTTCTTGAATTATTGTTGTAAGAATTTCGAAATTTTGCATTTTATTCAGAATTTTGGTTAATATTATTGTTATTATTAGTCTTGATGTCGATTTTTCTTCATTTTGTTAATCTTTGGCGCTTTTTTTTTTATTTTTTTTCGTTGTTGAAAGATCAATCTTGTTCGTAGCATCTAGGGATAAAAATCGAGATCAGGTGTGTTAATTAGCTGGAGTTGTGGCTTGATTTGCTGTAGAATAAACTTTTTGTGTTGTGATGTTCAAATTTTTTGAATATCTTTGGTGCGCTTGTTGTAACGTGTGTTCCTATGGTTTGATATTGTTTTCGTGATGAAAAAGTTTGTATTTTGTGTACTACAGTGCAATCGCTTTTTTTCAAAGGATAAAATATGGGCAGAAGATACAGCAGAAGCCCGTCTCCAAGGGGTTATAGTAGGAGATACAGAAGCCCGTCTCCGAGGGGCTATAGTAGGAGGTACAGAAGCCCAAGCCCAAGCCCGAGGGGCCGATATAGAAGTCGTGGGAGAGACCTTCCGACCAGCTTGTTGGTTCGTAATCTTCACCTTGATTGCAGGTGGGCTCTTCTTCTTCTTTGTTGATCGGTTTTGATCCATCAAATGTGTCTTCAAGTATTTGGTGAAAATTGTTCTTATGTTTGATGTAGTTCATCTTGGATTTGATCTGGGTTGTGTCATCTAATGCTTTCCCTATGTTCTAAACTTAATCAACTTAGGAGACATATTTTGATTATTCAATTTTTTTTTTTTTTTT